AAATAGATTTTGTCTTGGTTAGATTTCGAATTGCATGTAGTTATAGTATAAGAGTTAAATCTGATATTGCTAAAATACTAATAAACAAAGGACTTTATTCATCTTGATCTAATCGACGCGTAGTGGTGGCTTTTTGGATTTTGTGAGCTCATTCATATTTATTTGAAATGCTTAGTTAAATATTAAAACAAAATAAAAAATACTTTAAAAAATATAGTTTCGTGCTCTTAAGAGCTTTTCTCACACACAATGTAATCCAACCAGAAACAGACCATCGTTGTTGGCATTAGATTCTTTTTCCAGTCAATAATTTTACTTCGATAATTCGTGTGTACTCTCCTTTTATACGATACATATCTATTACAAAACAGAACCGTTGATGCAGACGAGCGTTTCCAAACCCACACCTTCCTCTAGCGCATCGCTTTTACTTTTATTTTCTCTAATTGTTTTATTTTTAAAACCTTGATTGTGGTTTCCTCTCTCTTTGCTTTGGCATGATTTTTCAAACTTTTTTACCCAACTGCGGCTATATCCAAAAAGAGGATTATGTGTTTGCTCTGCATGTATGTATGTACGTATGTCCGATCCCTCGACGTATTTACAAAAAAAAAATATGATTCATACGTCGTTATTGTGATGATTTACTGCTTTTCTTACATTATATTATGGTGCATTTTTGATATTTTTACTATTCTTTGTTGTTTTATGTTGTCTGTCAGCAGTAAAAGTCTCAAATAATCCTTTTTCTAAATCTATTTCTATTACATATATATATACGTATAGATAAAATAATGCCGATTCTATTGCTGATAGAATGGTAATCAACAAAGTCACTTTTTCGTTTATAATATTAGTAAAAGCTAAAAATGAATCCGGCGATATATTATTATGACATTCGGATGAAATTAGCTACAAAGTATATTGATTCGTTGCCAAGTTTACGTGCAAACAAGAATTTTGCTATCGTTTAAAATGCATAAGCACGTATCAAAAATATATAGTTTCATAACAGAAACCCAATATTTAAATCGATTGAATCTTTTATATATAAATATTATATATAAACATTTAGTTCCTCTGATTGTCAACCGATTTTTTTGTTTAGTGGCCATTAAAGAGGTTTAGTATTTTCCAGTAAAAATTTGAAAATTGTTAGTTTTTTGAAGTTATAGGTACTTCTTTTGGTACGTTTGGAATAAATTATGACAGTAAAATTTTAACGATGCGTGCGCACACCGACAGCCAAAACGCGACATGATGAAGTTAGATGAAAGCGACATGATGAAGTTAGCTGCATTCCTTTTACAAACAGAGAGTTGTGACATACGGGATGAAATCTTTAGCTATTTTTGTTCTGTTACGCCAAAGAAGTATAACTTCTTACGTACGTACATAAATACAGACACACGTTTTTTTATATAATGAGTATCGTAGAATTTTGACGACTCTTTGCGAACAATAGTTTTATTAAACATGTTTCAAAATTGAGTAAAATCTAAACTTTCATGCTTTAATAAAGTGGTAAATGACTTGACACAGAGGAGGAAAAGATACTGAACAGTTTTGTTTTTACCTTGTTGTATACAGATATTACAAGAAATACAGTTAGCATAGTAGAGAGACTACATATTATTGTAACAACGCGCCTGCGAGAGCATCAAAGCCGTCGATCTCACGCCTAATCTCTCTCAGATCGTGACAGTTTGCCGTCTCATCTATACATATAATAAACTTGTAACTAAGCCGCATCTGTACATTAAATATTTTTTGGAAAATCTTATTGAAATAAACATTATTATCGATACAGAGGCCGAATATATAGTTTTTAGAATTTTTGTCTGTCTGTCTGTTATCGCATCACAGAAAAACCACTCGAGGGATTTTGATGAAATTTGGTATGGTGATAGCGGGTTAACCGGGTCAACATATAGGATACTTTTTACTGCGGGAAAATATCTCATTTCTGAGAAAAAATGCAAAAAATGCAATCTATGAGTATACTAATCTGTAAAACCTAAGAATTTGGTTTTCGGTCACCTGAACGCGGGCGAAGCCGCGGGTAATGCTAGTGGGCTATAGTAACGAAATAAATAGTGCAACTGAGTTTGCCCACACACTAGCACCATAATATCTTTTGCGTAGTTGACTAAGTCCTAATGAGTTTGGCCGCAGACTCCGAAATCTACGGAGAACATTATTTGATATAGTCTTTTAAATCATAATAAACATGTCGGAAAACAAAACTATAGAGTACTCTATTAAATGCGAAGTGTCGCCAATGTTATGACGTCGAAATAAAAGTGATCGTAACGCTTAGGTATCTACTATTTATAAGTTTTTATTAGGTATATTATACGTTTATATTATACGTTGGATAGGAAATAGAGCGCTGCGTAATTTCCACAATATGTAGTCATCGTGTTTATATAAATACTAACGAAATACTGTCATTTCGCTCGGGTGCGTCCATATGTACGCGGATTCATGGGTGTTATTTTTTTTACGCAGAACCCAATTTTTTTTCTAAAATTAAGTAGCCTAAGTTACTCTTTATAATATCAGCTATCTGCCAGTTAAAGTCTCTTCAAAATCGGTTCAGCCCTTTCGAAGATTAGCCGGAACAAACAGAGAGACGAACAGACAGATTTTTTTTCTTATTAGTACCGTATATAATTTCATATGCATTTAGTAAAAAGCTGTTATTTTGACATTACAAACAGACACTTCATTTTATTTATCTGTATAGGTGTATAATGTTATGTTTTTATACGAGTAGATGAGTACCGCCCTATACCTAATGAATTGCGCAGTTCTCTAGCTTAGTCTATTAAATTAGAGATATAAATAGGTTTTATAATTTTCTTCATAAATATTGTTCTCACTTTTTCAACATGAACATATAAGAATATGTGTTTACTTGTAACTATTTGTTTACATGTAATAATTCAAAAGACTTGTGATAAGTAAAGGAATATGTTGAAGGAATTTTATTATTCATAAAGATAGAAAAGTATATAAAGCTAATTTTTCTGATTCAGTAGAGTCATATATATGTAAAACGTATTGTTTCAATAAGGACCGGAAACGGGGAACATTGAGGGATTACCCTCTGGCAGCCCCGTGCCATACGAATAGTGCTTGAAAATTAGCCACTTGACGATCAAGTGCAGCACACTCACTCTAGTTAGAAATGTCTTTGTTCAACACCGGTTTCTAAAAAAACTGAATCTATCCGAAGTTTTCCTACTTGAGATAGAAAATTGACATAAGCTCGATTTAAATGATCACTCCTATAGCTCGTAAGGCAAACCACAGATAGGTAATTGGGAACAGCCGTAAAACATCTTGTGAAAGTTTTATTGGCCATTTACATATTTTTATATAAACAAATATTTAATGTACAGATTCGACTCAGTTTGAATTTTATTATATGTATTGATTTGACGATTGCTTAGTATTCGCGTTATAAAAAATCTTAAAAAAGGATATCAGAGTGTTAGTGTTCACATTAACAATAACAGCAAAACAAATAAAGAGCACAAAAGAGCATGGACGATGTGTTTTTGATGTGTTGTATACTCATTGATAAACTAAATAATCAAAAATGAATGAACGGAATTTATAGTATCGGTGGTTCTGACCGTGACTTCCCTTCATCAATCAGTATTATTTCTCTATTACCGTAATTGGTTTCTTGAATGTTATTTAAGCTGCAAAGACGTCCAAATTGTATATTTATAGGGTTGTAAGTTTAGATTAGTAGGTACGAGTATAAGTGCTTTAATATAGGATAAATAAAAACCTCTTATTGATTGTTTGTTTGTTGTTTAAGCAATATCATCGCTAATGGTGATTAGATTTACATATTTTTAAATGCATGCCTCAGTGCCTTAAGGGTGGTTTCATATTATTGCCTGACTGCGATGCCCACAGGAGGGTTATGTGTTTGGCTTGTATGCAAGTAGACATACATACATATATGTATATATTTTAGAATAGCTGCGTGTGTGTCATGTTTGTTTCCTACTGCATAATATATGTTAATTCATCAACTTGTTATCTTCTTTTTAGCTCGCTTTTTACGCAGTCGGTTTTTTTTTCATTCAAATATTTCAAAGAAACCACTTTAGTTCTCCATTATACACGCTCTTATACAATTATTTGTAGAGGTCATATTTTGCGGTTGTAGATTCAATAGATGTAAACGCGCGAAATCGCAGGAAGAAGCTATTGCCATATATAAATTATGTAATTTATAACCGGTAAGATTTCTCTTTGACCTTTGACAGTGATAAAAGCAATCTAGCGTTAAATGAATGGCGTACGATGCAAACTTATATAAGCAGTGTAATCTTTATAGTCTCGTGTAGGTACGTTAAGAAACACAAAGTATGTAATTATCATTTTTTTTAATAAAGGAAATCTTTTTTTTTTTTTAATTTAATTATTATTTTAAGTTTAAAATAGGTTCAGTTAGCAATAGATATATGTAGATCCCTTGCGATGAGTGTTCATTGGCGTCTGGCAATCTAGCCGGGTATGAAGGCAAAAGACACTCAGGGAGTCAGCCCACCTCGGTGGCTATGCGGGTTGCTCCAAGTGCTTCTCTGATAGCAGGGTAGTCCGTTGGAGCAACCCTATGGTTGTTGTGGTCTGCCTCGGCATGTCGGCCATTAGGGCGTCGTGGTTGAGTGCGTAATCAATCCTGTGACACGCAATTAAGATGGGGTATAAGTAAATGCATTTACCAATATAAAAAAAAGATAGATATATGTAAAACCACGAATCTTTAAACTCTTATATGACTTGATTTGATTAAAGAAGAAACATTTCTGCAATCCATAACCCTAGCCAATTCTTGTGACTAACAAACTTGTGATTCGTACATTTGTATTCCTTCTCAATCAAAACTTACACAACATGGTAATCGACTACGACAGTAAATATGAATCATTTTGTGTGGTCTAATGATTTTGTTTAACAAGTATTCTTGAATCATGTTAAAGTTGTTCACTAAAGTAAGCCGACACGAAAATTACTAATTATTATTAATATCAAATCTAGCATAATTATATTTGGAGCAACACGAAAAGTCGTTTGTTTAAGTAAAACACAGCTCCATTGTATGATAGGTACTTGCCAAGTAAAAAACCCTGAAAATATAAAATTCACCTTTTAATACAGGACTATTGCAGTTATTACCTGATACGTTTCAACAAGCAGCCACAGTTCTGTCGCAAAGTGGAAGAGCAGCCCGTTAAGAGACCTCAGACGAGGAGGGCAAGAGCTGAACATATAGCAGCGGTGGAGAAGATAGAACCAGATCCTGACCTACCAGGCACTTTCACAGTCACCAAGTTATTGAAGGTTAATATTTTATTTGCATCTTAGTTCTTGCCCTCGAATCCGTTCGCGTGGTAGGTTATAGATACGCGATAAACATGATTTCTATATGTAAAGTACCGGTAAAAATAGTTATGTATATATATGATAAGTACTTGAGCCGGATTTTTTTTCTATTTTAAGATTATTTTTACGCAATAGAATACTCATACGTTGCGCACAACTTAAGCTAAGAAGCGTGAGAAGTGGAAAAATAACGATAGAAACTAATAGAATCATACTTAAACACTACCTCTTGCTTGCAGTTCAATAAGCATCGCATGTTCAGTCACAAAGTTTGCTAGAAAAGCAAAAGTTTTCTTATCTTTTTCACGTCCTATTGTTGGTACGAGGCACGCGTCAATCTGAAGGGGATAAGGCTATACTTACCAGGTGGTCAAGTGCGGGCTGGCGGACTTTACATGACTTTAGAAAACTTGCTCGAATTTCTTGATCTGAAAATGATCTGCACATAATATCTCTCTACTCCCTAATCTACCAGAGGTTTCTAACCTGGATTTAAACCTATTTTTCTTGGTTTTCTAAGCGAGCACGTTTCCATTGGACTACCACTGCCTTCAACTTCATCTAATAAAGATATTTATATAACTCAAAAGTCGGATATAACTCAAAAATTTTTTAGAATATTTTTCATACAAAAAATCAACTAACGTTATATAAATATAAATACAAACGCCTATTCAAAAAAAAATCTTAGAGTATGAATATTTTTTGAAAGTTATAAAATATTCAGTCTATTAGTTCCTGAAGATAGTTAAAGCAAATATTTAGTTAATTACCTTACTTACGACTTCAAATGAAATAAGTTTGAAACAATGTTAAAATAATTTTTAAGCTTCCAAATGTTTCAGGATATTTCGATGAAAATGTTAAGCTCCTAGCAGTTTAGCAATTCTGAAAATTCTTATAATTTTAAAGGAAAAATAATACCTAACTCTTAGTTTCAAGGGAAATTTAAAACATCAAGTTTTTTCAGGGAGCAATATACATCTTAGTATAACATATGTATACAGGGCCAGATAATCCATAAGGAAGGGCCCTGCATCGGTTAGGGGTTCCACGCATCAAGAAAAAAAAATAAAAAATGTTTCATCGAGTGAAAAATTGATTTGAAAAATAAAAAAAAACTAGGTGAAAATTTCACCATGAGGACAAATATAACAGTTATATTTCTACGAAATCTACCTAATAATATAATTGTATTTTTGTAGAAAAAATGTATTTCAATAAGTTAGAAAATGGTCAAGGGGCCCCAAGAATTGCTTTGCCTAGGGGCCCCCGACATGGTTAATTCGACCTTGTATGTATGTCTTAATGTGTTTATTTTCATGTATTTACATATGTGGGTTGTTTTGTTATCATTTCCTACCGTATTGCGACGTAATTAGCCCCGCCCGAAGGCTATGCAGCGTTTAGGGAAACAGTTAACAAAGCCACCTAATATATGTACATTAAATAGAATTTCCTTTGTCATTGAGGTAATTTAGCTTGGTAAATAAAGTTGTAAAAGTGTGAAATGTTACTTTCAATATCATTTCAATTGTTGGCGCTGGGCATTTACACATAAACTTGTTAAGGTAAAGAAAAACATTGAGAAGAAATCTGTATGTTAGAGAGAACTATTATAGGTATATTTTTATATATACGTTGTAAGGCTAGTAAAGATTTCTCAGAGATGAGATATTTGCCCCCAGTAAAAAGTATCCTATATGTTTGACCTACGGGGCATCATATAGAATACGTTATCCGTAACCAGCTATCATCATACCAAATTTCATTAACATCTGTCCAGTGGTTTTCTCGTGATGCGTTCCCAGATAGACGGACAGACAGACACATGGAAATTCTAAAAACTATAGATTCGGCTTCTGATAATAATAAATATTTCAATAAGATTTTCCAAAAAATATTTATTGCACAGATTCGACTCAGAATTTTATTATATTTATAGATTTTGTTAAATTTTCGTACTTACTGTGTAAAGTCTGTGAAACCACATTTGGCCAGCGTGGTGGACTATGACCAAAGCTCCTTCGCTTTGGTCACAGCTACGAAGATAAAAATGGGCTAAATTTTACAATAAATAATAATTATTATTCTGTATATGTTTAAACATATACAGAATAATAATTATTATTTATATTATTAACCCCTTCAAATAATAGATTTTTGTGTTTTTTGCAGGAAAATGTTTTAGATAACTCAGAAGCACTTACTTCAGCAATAGAAACGAAGCCCTTAACTGGATTGATGTCTACAATGTCCCAGGACAAAAAACAAATAGTTGAACTGTTATATCAGGACATTATAAGGCCAACAGGAGTATCCTGGGATGATATTATAGGGCTCGATAGTGCTAAGAGTATTTTAATGGAGTCTGTTGTATTCCCTGTAAGGTAATAATAATACGCTTCATTTAACAAATTCATTTTCTGTTATTGATATCTTTAATAGACAACTAAAATTTGATAGACTTGATTTTGATAAAACTTTAATAGGATGACAATATTGGCGACTCATTTGGCTCAGTTTGTAGTAGTTGACCCTACTTATTGTGCCAGCGGTCGCGGGTTCGAGTCCCGCTGCGGGCATTCATTTGTGTGACGAGCACGAATGTTTGTACTCCAGTCGTGGGTGTTTATATATATAATATGTATGTAGGTATTTAAAGTTATATATGTGTCGTGTATCAACTATCTGGTATCCATAACACAAGCCTCATGGCTTACCATGGAACTAGATGTTTCTGTGTGTAAATGTCCCAACTTAAAAAAAAATTGGTACACATTATCATCGTGCCATAAGTTTTCATAGAACTGTTTTAGGGTTCAGTGTCTTAACAGCAAAAAAGGAACCAATATCGTCGTATCCGTCTGAACGTCCCTCACAGCCATTTTACTAGGAAATTTTTGATACTAAGTAGAATAAGAGTGCCACTCTATAACTGTGGAAAATTGAGTATGAATTGAGAGATCGGCATTTAAAAATAAGATATTTACAGTAAGAAGATATTTCTGACTTATACTTTTCTAAAATTGTAAATATTGTTCGCTGTTGATAAAGTATATAATTATTATTTAACCTAACAAATCGAGTTTATTAAAACAGATTTTTATTATTTTTTTCACTACTGACTTTATATGGTGTCTTAGTAAAAATAACTACGACCCAACGTTGTTTTCATCGCTCGTCATTTGCATAGAAAAGGTTGAAATGAAGCGTAATGAAAGCTGGCGTTAATTATTTTAGAAGGAGATGACCATAGAGCTTTACAATTATAGTTTATTTAAAGTTTACTAAAAGAAAAATTCTTTAAGAGGAAATTCTCTAAGTATGCAATTTAATTTATGAAGTTTTATTTTTTGATTAAATATTATAATTTCATTGGATTTTGACGAAACTGAAAGCGAAACGAAAACTTAATTACTATTTTTTGAATTCAAGCAATTGTACGAAGTCAGTGTATTAACAAAATTGTACAATAATTTAGAAGAAAAGATCAAGGGACTTAGGAATTAAAAATAATAATATTTAATATTTAGTGTTGCTATAGTTTTCCGTTTTGTAATTATTTTCTTTGGGTTGTAACACAATAAGTATGTAAATATTGATACAATAAATAAAATTTTAAAATAAATATCTTTCAACTTATTCGAAAAAAATATTTTATTTAAAATGTCAAATATTGACGTAAATCTAAGAAAGTATTATTTTACATATATTATATCCTAAAGTTTCTGATTTCGCCAAACACGCTCACTTCAAAAATCGCCAATTTAGAACAAAAGTAGGATCTAATAAGCAATAAATATTATATTATACAATCTTCTTCTTAAATTGAACGCAGAGGTCATTAGTTAAATCATTACACGAGATAAACATTAGATTTAAGGGATAAATGGTTGTAGCCTTAACCGAACGACGAAAATAGTATATTGTGGGGTCGCCCGTCTAAACTAAAGGCAGACAACCAAGATCACGATTAATGTGCTAGGCCATCTACCCAACGAGACAGAGAAGATATGTAAATTAATCCAAGAAAAAAACTAAAGTTTATTTAAATTCTTATAATGCTTATTGAATCACGATCTGCGTATATATATATATATATATATATATATATATATATATATATATATATATATAATCTGAACGCAGAAGTTTGTGATCGTGGGAGGAAATTGTTTATAATACTATTATATTATGTATGTGAGTATTGAGTATGTTTGTTACTGCTTCATGAACGGCAGGATAGGTTTGGATGTCTATGACTGGACCGGGCTGGAATTACATATAGGCTACGGTTAGTTGTTAAAATTACCATTAGGGTGATTGCCGATGTATGTATATTATTATGAATGCAAAAGACATAAGGATGCATTTATGTGTAAATCCCTATTATTGCAAGGATTGTCTATACTTAATATTAAAAAGAGATTTTTTTTGTAATAGATAAACTAAAAATCCGCTGAACTGATTTGGGGGAAATTTGGTATGAATATAGTTTAAGACCCTGGGGAGGAAGAAGGGTAGTTTTTATCCCGGAAATCATCCCGTAAGCGAGTGAAAAGGGGGATGAAAGTTTGAATGGGGAATCAATCATTTCTCAAATAATGAGTATAAAACTCATCATACCTATGTATATTGTATATAATATATAGTCTATCTATTCCATACTAAACGTACCTAGGGACGATCCCGGACGAAGCGAGAGTGAGTCACTAGTGAAATATAAAGAAAATAATAAGGTTTCTCTTAAATTTTTAGATATCCACAGATATTTACCGGTCTGCTGGAGCCGTGGCGCGGCGCGCTGCTGCACGGCGCGCCCGGCACCGGCAAGACCATGCTCGCTCGCGCGGTCGCCGGTCAGAGCGGTTGCACATTTTTTAACATAACTTGCAGTACAATAGTAAACAAATGGAGAGGAGAATCGGAGAAAATTGTAAAGGTACAAGATTGAAATAGTTATATTATTAGTTATCTATATATTTGAAATAATTGTCTTATAATAAAAATCGTAAAAAAGAAATAATAACTTGAAAATAATAAATACATGTACCTAATAAAATTCTAACTCAGTCATAGTTGAAAGATTTACGATATGTTTGACGTGGACATGAAGCCTAAGTGATGTGGGATTTGCGAGATGAGTGTGCGTCATATAATATTTTAACGAGTAAAAAGAGACGTATGATTTTAGAAATAGAATGGAATGAAAGATGATTAAAAGAAAAGATGGATATTATGTCATAACGGCGGCAAGATACGCGTGAACATTGTTTTGTCTAGTTTGAATAAAATAAATTATTAGTCGGTGTATTTTAAACTCCTTTATTTGTATCTCCGGATCCTACATAAACATTTTGGAAATTTTGTTAGTCACTATATAGTACAATATATATTACATAGATAATATTAGCACAATAATACTCTACAGGTTTTTAATAAAACACTATCTTTTCAGATTTTCTCGCGGAATTATTTTGATTTTTGATTTCCCGACGTTTCGAATGCTTTGCCACCGTGAAAATGTCTAATTTCGCGTAAATGTGAGAAAGTATTTTCTACAGGTTTTATTCGAAATGGCGTCTTACTACGCCCCGTCAATAATATTCATAGACGAAGTAGAGACGCTCGCGTCGGAGCGCGGCGGCGAGCACGAGGCCTCGCGCCGGCTGAAGGCGCAGCTGCTCACCGAGCTGGACGGCATCGCGCACAGGGACGGCATTGTGTTCCTACTTGTTAACTCTAATATGCCTTGGTAATTCTAATTCTTTTCTAGGTAATTCTAATTGTATATATTCAGATCTGTTTAACGTCCCACTGCTGGGCACGGGCCTCAATATGAGAGGGATCAGCCTACAATCCACTGACTGACTATTGCCTGATTCCCCTGACTACGCATGGCTATATGGACTGTCTGCGAACTGAACATGCCTTTCGAAAACTTGCTAGGTTCTCTCAGACACGTAGGTTTTCTCACGATGTTTTCTTTCATCGTAAGACATGTGGTAATCATGTTGGAAATCGCTTGCACATGAAAATATTAGAATTGCGATACCTGGGATTTGAACTCGCTTCGCTCGGTTTCCAAGCCAGGTTACCATTGGGCTACCACTGCCTTGATTCTAATTAATGTTTTAAAACATTACTAGATAAGATAAAATATCCATATCTTAGTAGTTATTATATATAAGGACTTATTGTACCCTATTTTGCCTTATTAATATGATGCTATTTGTTACCATATCTTGGGGTATGTTGATCTATCCATCCATTGAGTTGATCTGATGATGGAGTCAGAAGGTGGATAATGGAATTCTTCCATGGCTCCTAGCAGTAGACTAATCAAATCGATTTTGACGAGTACCATACACACGTACATACGAGTACATTTATTACAATTGCTCTTTGAGGATTAAGAGAGTATTCTTTAGGTTTAATAAAACTTTAATTCTTACTTTTTTTATTGTGTAGATATTTATATTATTGTTTTTTTTTCCAGGGAAATTGATTCAGCCATGTTACGGAGGTTAGAGAAGAGGATATACATACCGTTGCCAGATTTCAATACGAGGGTTAAACTGTTCGAAACGTTCCTTAGTAATAAGAACATTGAGCTGGTACCTAAAGTTAACTTCGAAGAGTTAGCGATGAAGACTGAGGGATACTCAGGGAGTGACGTGAAGCTCGTGTGTAAGGAGGCGCTAATGGCTAACGTCAGGAAAATGTTGCCAAATATGGCGGGGAAAAGTAAGAATAATCGTAAAAAAAATACCAGTTATAGTAGAACTAGCAACTCAACCTTGCTTCTATCGGGTTCGTCCCTAGTGTAAAACAAAAACAAATCTATACCACGGGAACCATACATTTTTCCGGAATAAAAAGTGACCAAACTGCTATTCCAGACTATAATCTATCTCTGTGCCAAATTTCATCCAGATCCGTTCAGCCGTTCTGGCGTGAACGTGACAAACATCCGTCCAAACTTTCGCATGTATAATATTAATGGGATTAGCCGACTCGAGCGGGAAGTCTCACAGCATATCGATGATTTTAATTGTAGAGTTGTTGGAGCTTATCTGGACAAGATATCAATCTACAATAGTTGTAGAAAAGAAATGTTATGTACCATAATATGGAATTCCCATATTATTGACACCTTTAGATTTCAATGGACTTTTTTGACATTTAGTTCGCGTACGCGTACATTTTAAGAAATCCTGGTTTTTACATTATAATTTATAACTAACAATGTATTATAATAATTTCTTAGATTTACACGAATATTTGACGTTTCAAATAAAACTATCTTTTCCGATTATTCCGCGCATAATATTGACGGACGGATTTTTGAGAGACGGGATCTCTCCCGTGACCATGATTGCTGTAAGCTGTGTAAAGCAATCGAAACGTCCGGAACCAAAAATCAAAACAAATCCGCAAAATGATCTGAAAAGCTAGTTTTATTTAAAATAAAAAATTATTTCTATCTATATGTTTTATGTTTATTGACAGGTCAGTCAAATCGTAAGGAGAAGATTTCACTATCAGATATTCTAACGGCCATAGAGAAGACCAAACCAGTGTCAAAGAATTTGGCGAAAAAACACGAAGATTGGCAAAAGGAGATGGGATCTTCATAGATTTTTAAAAAACAATCGCTTTAGAAAACAGTTTGGCGTAAGTAATTTAACTTCACCAAGTCGACTTACTACAACCGATATAGCTAGTAGAAAACTAATAAATATACGAAAATAAATTTTGACTTTACGGGAAAATATGTACGTTATTTTCATTATATTTTTTTGATTTCTATTATCGATAGCAAAAATGCCGTCTTTAGCCTAATTCTATTATACCGATATTTGGCTATATTCCCGCTTCTACTAGAACCACATTAAGGCTTAATCACTAATTAAGGCGCAAAAAAATTTCAAATGATTAATTAATTTCAATATGGCGAACGTATCGCGCATCTATATCATCGTAAATTATAACTTAGAAATTTAATAACAGGAGTATAATTTAATACTAGCGACTCACCCTCGCTCTGCTCGGGTTTGTCTCTAGTTACGTTTTAACGTTTAGTATAAATTTCTCAGAGATGAGATATTTTCTCGCAGCAAAAAGTATCCTATAAGTTGACCCGGAAAACCACATATCGTCATACCAAATTTCATTAAAATCTGTTCAGTGGTTTTCTCGTGATGCGTTCCCAGATAGACAGACAAAAATTCTAAAATTATAGATTCGACCTCTGTATCGATAATGTGTCTATTTCAATAAGATTTTCCAAAAAATATTTAATGCACAGATTCAACTCAGAATTTTATTATATATATCTATCTATAGATTACTTTCCGGTTGACAAATATTGCAATATATGAAAATGTAAAGACTTAATAAAACTCAAAAGTATAATATTTTCTTAGATTTACGCGAATATTTGAAATTTTAAATAAATAAAATTACTACATATACATGTACATGTCTCTGCAATAAACTACAGCCTCTATTAAATTGGTAAGGTAAAATTAATTGTGTTTAGCCTTTGGGCCCTAGTTTTATCTAGTTTTATATTTTTGGGATATCACCTATAATGTATGTCTATATTTTTGATTTGTATATAGAATTGTTTTTGAAATTGTTCTGTCATGCTGTGTGTTGATTTGGAGTAATGGAAAATTTAAATAAAAGAGAAATAAATCTGTATGACTTACTTCCAGTTGTCACTTAAAACCTTTCTTTCCATACGGTATACTTTTATAATAAATGTCTATCTGTCTGTTTGTTACTTTTTCACGCTTAAACCATTCAGGAAATTGCGATGAAAGACAAAAACTTATATTGTATCTTGGGGGATTACTTGGGACGAGAGAAAAGTGCCTAAGAATTCAACTGAGTAATCTGCAATCAAATGCATTTATTTAAGAACTAGCGGCTCACCCTCGCTTCGCTCGGGTTCGTCGCTAGGTACGTTTTAAATAGATATAAATAGTTATTAGCCAGCGTTAGCCATATAATATATTTTTTTCGTTAATAATATTGACAAATATTGACATTAATATTTATACGATTCTAAGGTCACTCAATTGCCACCAATGTTTTGCCTTCCCGGAACCTCTCCACTAACACTTAAACTTTATGTTATGGTATTAAAGTTCAAATTGACTTTTAAGTATTATTACGAATCTTTTGTATAGGAGTATAGAAAAGTGTTGTTTTTAGACTTTTTCAGGCAATTTTTAAAATTTTTCTCATCGTAAGAACCATCCTCGTACTTTAAGGAATATTCTAAAAAAAGAATTAGCGAAATCGGTTCAGCTGCTCTCGAGATATACGCTTACCAACACATTCAGCGATTCATTTTTATATAATAGATAAGAAGAAAGGAAAAAATAATAATTTCCAATTGTGAATAATAAAACAATGTTCGAACAATAGCAATTTCTAGTTACACCTATTTCGAGTAGGTGTAATAAAATCTTTGTCTTTTCCTTTATTGGATCGCGAACTTCATCAAGAACAAACATACATCAACGAAACAGTTGACGAAGTTAAATCTATTACGTGTCTGAATCATAAAATATTCTCTAAGAATTATCTAAGAATTATAAAAAAATACGCAATACTAGCAGAATTCACTCAGTAGTGCCCGGCAATCCAGCCGGGCGCGCAGCCAAGAAACGCACAGGGAGGTGACCCGCTTCGGTGGGCGGTGTACCGTGCGGGTTGCTCCTGGTAGTTCTTTGATAGCAGAGTGGACTGTGCGGGCAACTTCATGGTTATTGTGGTCTGCTTCCGCAGACCTGCCGTCGGGGCGTCGTAGTTGAATGCGTAAGCGATACTGCGACGCCCCATTAAGACGGGGGAAGGCTTTGTGGGGTTTTAGTGGGTAGTACTGGCTTTTCTAGTCGGTGAGTCCCACATAACTACTTGTGTTACAGGTGATATACGTAAATGCCAACATAAATGGGAAATCCCAACATAAAAAAAATATGTCTGTCTCAATCTATCAAAATAAATCCGCGAACAAATCCGAAAAGATAGTTTTATTTTAAAATTAAATATCAAATATTCGCGAAAGTCTAAAAAAAGAAAAAAAATGTTTGCCTTTCAACTAACACCAGATAATCCAACAAGTATTTAAATTTAATTACCTCTGTAGAATTTGCTCATACATCGATATGATGAATATTCAACTCCGCCTTTAAGGCAAAGCCTTCGTGTAAAATGCAAATCTTATAAGCGTAACTTAGAGAAATTTGAATTTCCACTTAAGTTAAATGTGTTGGTAACGACCTTATTCACTAAGTACTAGTGATACAATACGACTTCGCTTGCAAATTATAGGGGCTTTTAGATTTCTTTCTTGCTTTGTTTGCAAAATCTAAAGAGGATGCTTTTGTGGAATAAAAATTTCTTTTTAAATCTCGAAAAGTACTTTAAAATTAATGATTCCATCCTTTGGTAGGTCCACTTTATTTTTTTTTATTTATATGTTTAAGAATTTTTTTTATATGGTAATACCTCATAAGCACACAAAAAATAACATACAACTGAAACGAAAGTACCTTCTTGTTTCATAAGTTGATCAAAAGAATCAAACTCTACAACACTAACATCACCCACAAACGTCACAAACTGGCTCTAAGAAAAAAATATGCCACGTTCCTGTATTAAAGAGGCACAAACCAACAGACTTTTTGCATTTATACTACATAGTAAGGATTACGTATTTGGTAGCGCCGCGAGAGACAGCTACATCTCAATCAGACTGATATGAGATATTTAAATGTATTTTATCCATACTAATATTATAAACGTGAAAGTGTGTGTTTGTTTGCTTGTTTGTCTGCCCTCCTTTCACGCCGAAACGGAGTGACGGATTGCCGTGATTTTTTGTGTGAACATAGTTGTAGGGCTGGAGAGTGACATAGGCTACTTTTTCCCGCGAGAGATTATCTCATTCTCACGGGAAAACACGTTATAATACAATCCAAAAAAAAAATATGATCAGAATTACTTAAAATTTGGTATTAATGCTCTTCAATACAGTTAAATAAATACTTGTTTTAGAAATTCATCCCTTATGAGGGTAAACTATAGGGGATAAAAGTTCGTATGAAACCTACTTTTTTCGAGTTTTTTTAGCGAGGGCGAAGATACTTACAAAATGTAAAATATGTCGAAACAATAATAAAAATACGCATAATATAAAAAAATAATAATGTAAAGAGATGGGGTTGTAAATAAAACACGGGTTATACTAATTAATTTTATTGACGTCTAATTTAAACACTTCCTCTATACAAAAATTGAAAAATATTTATGCTTACGAATGCGTACATACACAGCTCAAATCCTATGTAAATACTTTAAATATATTAAATTAATAAAGGAACATTCACTACAATTTATTTATTGATATTTTTATGATTTTTCTGATTTAGGGCTATAATAATAAAGTAAAAATAATCGTCATTGACTAGAAACGAAGGAGCCAGCTTCAGTAGTGTGAAAGAATTAAAAAAAAACTTATATTTAATGAGCTTTAATCATTAATTAAAAAGTTTATTAAATTGATGGAAGAGAAACAGAAAAAAAAGTAAAATAGAATAAAAAAAACAAGAACAATTATTTAATTTAAAAAATAAAGCTATGGTGAGTTTGCATTGATATTTAAAAACATAAGATACACATTTCCTAACAAATAATTCTTCAAAAAGTGGCGTCGACGTGTGACGTTAAGCCAACCAAAGAATAAAATTCAAAAATGGAAACTTCTAATTGTCTAAACACATTGTCTTTAATCAAAACAACGTGTTTTAATTTTGCCAAACGAAAAGCATTGAACAAAAGAGATTTGAAAAAGCACACAATTTGGAATTATGCATTTCTTTGCAAGAACACTTGTGTATCTTGTGTTTTTGTAAACCAATGATGTTTTTGTATATGATATGATTTTGGCACCGATAAGAAAGGCATCTATGTGTTACAAAAATATTTACCTATACTTTGTATGATACGAAGGTGATTCAAATCCTATTCTAATTGTAAGAAGCCTATTTTGAACTAATGAAGTTTATTGACTAAAAATAAGAGGCAAACAGACGAACAGATTTTTTTTCTATATAAATATGTGCTTTTTGTTTATTTTAACTAATTACCCTTTTCAACGTACGTACCGTAAACGGTTACGTAACGTAAACTTTGTAATGGATTTTTATCACTTTTCTAAATCAGTCATTTAGAATGTGGGCTACCGCGCTTGAATTCGCCGCTAGAGGCGCTAGTGTAGAGTGAGGTCTCTAGAAATGTCAAATGACACTGAATGTTAACTGTTTTCGAGTTTTTCATAAAGATTATTCACTAATATTGTAAACATTGTGCCATTCCTGATTATGGCAGACACGGTACGGCTCAACAAAGAAATTAAAAATAAAAAAATAAAAAGAAAAGTCAATATTTTATCTATTTGGTTATTATATATTAATTTTGTAAAACAAAATCCTGATAAACTGGTGCCGCGCTAACAATAATTATTATATTAAATTTATTCGCCGTGCTACACTAACAAATACTTTTCAACGACAGCGATAGGACCTCACTCGCCAGTGGCGCCAACTGGTGTCATCAGAAACGATAGCCCTCATTTCAACCATACTTTGGGAAGTTTTTTTTTTAAATCACAGATTAAAATATTTTAAAGATTAGGATTTAACATTAAAAATATTTCTAAAGTCTAAAGCTTTAAAATGTAGGTATCGTTTCGATTTTACATGAATTTTAATACAGAAGACTGTTTTAGTTAGAAGAAACTTTAATAAAGTTATGAATTTCATTACCTAGTAACCTCTATACTTTAGAATTTGATAAATTTTTATACAACACGGCGGGCATACGAAATAAATTATAAAAAACATAATAACTTATTAATTTTTTGTTTCAGAAATCCTATAATTTTACCTATGTTAATAAAAATGTTCAAAAAATTATTATTTTAATTTTTTTAACTTCATATAAAAAAAGTCAATATCAGATAATAAAAAATATTTTTACTTCACAAAAATATCACAATAATGAATAATAAAAAAAAACTATTTAATCATTTGATCTGCATTACATGAAAATAAATATGTAATTATAGTATTTTCTTTTTTTCATTTTTATATTACTTATAGAGACAATCTTCATATTCTGTGGCGGATATTATTCACAAAGTAAAACTATTCAGCTTGACACACTGTAATATGTCATTTTTTACTTTATTTTTATTTGGGGACTCTTATCCTTTTAGGATATGCCAGTTTCGTCGCAACCTTAACCATCTACATGTGAATATTTAAAAAGAAATTAATGTACATGGTAATAAAATTAAAATTTTTGACATCTTTGAAAGACCCAAAGCCAGAACTTAATTTACCACATTTTTTTGCTTTTTCACTTTTTTAATTTTATAGAAATTAATAATAAAACATCTTTAAAGTAATTTTGGTTTCATTTTTGTCACAACGCTTTTATGGATTTTTTGAACAATTTCATTTCATACAGTTCTCAAACATAGAGGTTATAGAAAAAGGGAACGTATTTCAAATGCTGCTCAAAATTTTATAGTTAATTATAATTGAATACATTTCAGAAATTTATTTGCTCAGTAAGTTATACTGAGCAAGTTAGCTGAATCTAGATATTGTATACAAAAAAACGAACGCGTGTTTACTAAACAATCTCCTTCGTGTCTTCTCTGTTCTATGTGACAATGGCAAAGTAATCTGTGTTCAACTGTGAGGTTTTGAACCCCAAAGAGTTAGTAGTCAGCCATTATTTTAGACAGATTTCTAATATATTTTTTTAATAGTATGTGATCGTTCTCTTTTTCTTGAACCTCCATCGTCCGAATTTAGTTCGGAGTTGAGAGAATAGCAAAAATTTACCATGACATCTGTACCCGTAAATAAAATTTGGAGAATTTGCAGAAGAGCGAGATCTAAAATGTAGTACTTAGTTTTTTATCGCTCGAATTTGTGACGTCATCTTTATTTTTTTAACACCATAATCGTATTAAAATAACAAAAATGCTACCACATGAAATATTTTTCTTTTATTTGAAAAAAAAAATATCTATATTGCTCTTTTGAAAAATATAAATAGAAAATACATAAAAGAAACAACCAGTGTTAGTTACTACATAAACATAAACAATTATTTTCTAAATAAAATTTTAGTTAATACCGCCGGTGTTGCCATGTTGAAATTTTCTAATATTTCACATTCTAAATATAAAATATAATGGCGGGAATCTGTCCGTCCTCTACGGAAGTGCCATTATTATTTCCGGCGGCGTATGAAAATTGGAATACAACCTTCTCGCCGTTGTTGCAGTCGACGGGGACACGCCTTAAGCCTCTTGTGCCGTAATAGGAATCTGTACCCTGAAAAAAAGATATTTGAAAACTATTATTATATATGCGAATGTGTGTGTGTGTATATTTGTTGCTCTTGAACACTGAAATAGCTGAACGGATTTAGATGAAATTTAGTAGAGAGATAGACCTGAAATAACACATATGTTGTTAGTAATAAAATTTGCCAAGATGTGGCGCTTACTGTGTATAATCAGACTACGAATCCGGAAGCTCAAAAATGGCTGGACGGATAAAACTTAATATACAGATTAACTATTACTTTTTTTTTAACGCACTAAACCACAATGCCTCAGCGGCCGGTCAGCCGAAGCAGACCACAAAAATCACGGGGTTGCTCCAACGGTCCATTCTGCTATTAGAGAAGTACTAGAAGCTACCCGCACGGCACACCGCCCAATGAGGTGGGCCGCCTCCCAGACACATCTTGGCTTCGCGCCCGGCTGGATACTAATGAGCCCACCACAAGGTGAACACGCGTCGGGGGAAAGATAGATATACTTGGAGTAACAAATAGGCTACTGTTAGGCACCTAGGGATGTACCCGAGCGAAGCCAGGGTACATCCCTAGTAACAGATACCTACCTTAAGTTTAGCGCTGGCAATATAAGAAGTGTTGGGCAATATCTCCACCGGCTCCTTGAACATAGCGCGGAAGGTGTCATCCGTGCCGTCGCAGCAGAACGTCGTCGTGTTGGAACCGCACACTTTCTTCGTTGCGAGGTGAATTATCTGTAACAGATTGAATCTATTTTATATATCTTAGACAAATTAGTAAATATGTATATAAAATAATGTTTTATCCATTACTTATTATTCGCGTTTGCTTAATTATTCTGGTATGCTAGGAAGTTTAATCAAAATAAACGTTTCGATGCAAATTATTACACAAGCTTTTGTAGTAGTATTCAAAGGTCATTTTCACAAAATACACAATTTATATCAAAATTGAATAATTCTTTGAAATTAAATAAGTAATAACCAGTTATAAAGAAAAATATATTTCATCTTAAATCCATAGTACTTACTTGTAAATGAACTTCATATTCCGTTGGGCCAAAATAAGAACCATACAGCCCGAAGCCAACCACAAAAATCCGCTGATCCACTGTAAATCTAATTCTATCAGTCGTACCACTATAACCCCATCGAGATTCAGTTTGGGAGAACCTGTTCACTGTCAGCTCTTTGCCGGTCATGCAGCATCTAGGCGTATCTAGGAAACCTACATTAGGTTTAGGATTCACTGTGAAATATAAGAACAATTGAACAATTTCCCTATCATCAAGCAAGCCACTTTGAGCTGGTCCCATTGCGAATTCTTCTACAGACATTAGTGGAAAACGTATTGCATGGAATGCTCTGCCTAAAACCATTCTTTGGTTGTTTGGTGTGACAGGTAGCTGTCTTCGGATACATTCTGCTTCGGACCATCTCAGAACTGCTGCAAAGATTTTGGCCTCGCGGATTCGTAGTGTATCTCTAAAAGAATAATAATTATTAGTAATGTTTTTTTATTACAATCAAATTACTTTATATGTATTTTAAACTTACTTTACTTTCACATTGTTAAGAATAAGATGACTTTAATAATGTTGCTTATACATTTTAATGGGGAGCAATTCAAGTTTAAAAACTGATCAATTTTTCAAAATTTCAAATTGTCTAGATAATTTCAAAATTGTTATTTCTTAAATGTGTAAGAAAAAAGTTAAATGGCAAATAAAAAAATCATACTAAATCACTTATGATTAATATTTAATAGTAACTTAAATAATGGTTCAGATGCTTATTGCACAATAATTTCGCTGAATATTTCTTATAAGGAAAATCAAACTCAATACTCTAAACCACTTATTGTGATGTTGATTTGCTTATTCTTGTGTAATTTATAAATATAAAGTGATTTAAGAATTATACTAATTTAGTAATATAAAAAATAATAATTTAAAGAAAATATTTATTTTAAAATATAATATGTTAAATAAGTTTTCATGTTTAGAATAAGAAAACTATAGGAAATTGATAACTAAACATAAAACTTTTATAATTATAATGGATGCATTTCTGTCAATCCATTTCTTAATCCCTCCACAACCACGGACATGCCGGCATTACAGTAAACAATAGATTTCTTAGAAATCTAATTAATTTCTTAGTTTACCTGGAGGTGTTAGGAACTTTAATATTGCACAAATTTTAATTAAAATTGTAATAGATACCTATTTATTATAAAATATATTCAAAATTAACCTTTCTAAGACTGCATTCAAGGTGTCTTGATCTATATCAGTAAAACCTTCAGCATTTAGTGCATCAGTTGTATTTTTATCAATCATTTCTAAGCATAATGCTGCTAGCTGCGGCTCATCAAACAGTCTGGCTTGTGTTAAAAGTAAGAATGCATTATCTGTGCCAAGATTACTCTTCAGAAAGTCGACACAGTGTTCTTCTAAAGCAGCAACTGCATATTTTTTAGCTGTATATAAAGTTGTCATAACACTTTCCGGACCAATTCTGACTTCATCAGAATATAGAAATTTGAGTAAATGTAAAAAAGCTGCCGGTTCAACATCAGGCAACTCTACCTCCTCAGATTTTGTAGCCAGAACTCCATTGAACATAGCATCAAACACAGCACTTCCAACAGAAAGCACAAACTTATGTGCAGGTATGACTTGCTGGTTTGCATCTTTGCCCACAATAAAATGGACATCAGACAGAATTTCATTATTAAACAAAAAAGATAGACGTTCTTTCACTGTAGTTTTTGTTGCTTGCCAATTGTGCAGACGACCACCAGTATTATTAGTCGGTTGCAGATTTTCTATTGCGGAAGACGAAGGCATCGGTTCGCTTGCGTGACCGCTTTCCTCGTCGATATGGCTTCCTTGTCGCGATTGTTGATTAGACGGTAGCATATTCTGAGGTGGTTGTTCGTCTCCTGCACCTTCCTCAAGCCTTACATTAAGCAATCTATTCATAATGTCATTCTTTGAACCAGAAGCCATAACTACAAGAATTATTAGAACATATCACAGAGAAGGCGGTAGTTGTAGATAAATGACGATATAAGCGTATATTTAAGTCGCACTACACACACCATATATTGAGGAAAAGTAAATTAGAATTGATTTATTAGCTCTATTAGTATCCTATGTTTATGTATTCATTTAGACTTTAGAGTTGGACAAGTTTTCAACCAAATTTTTTATCATGACATTAGTGACATTGACAAGATATTGTCAATTACGACTTACGAGTTTGGTCATTGGTGACATATCAACAGGGCTGCCACATAACAGTTGTTGATTTACCCGACCAATAAGCCTCAAAATACCCGGTTTATCCCGCCGGCGCTAACCATGAGCAGAATATCCAAAAATAGTTTTTTTTAAAGTAATTAATTCATGTTTTATATAGAATAAAAGACCGTACTAATGTCATAAAAAGAAGTCATTGTAATCAATTCTCAAATAAACAGCTTTAAATTATTGAATCAAACATTAAAAAAACTTAAAATATCTAATTAATCGACTTCCGCTAGTACTTGGCTTAGTAGAGTAAGATAAATACCATAATTTGGTTGGCAACATTTGAACACTGGGTGACTGGGCTGACCTCCTGCTTTACGGATACCTTTCCGCACGGCCAATATTGCCACTACAGTATCTGTGTCCAATGGGTTTCGATGAGCTGTTTTAATGTATTTTAAATTACTATTATGATAATGTTGCTAGCTAATCTCCAATACCCACTTTTACCCCGCTCAATACAAATACCTGAGAAAATTACCCGCCATCAAAAATCGCCTAAAATTACCTACCTTTTTTTTTTTTTTTAACGTTGGGAAATGCATTTACGCACGACGTGTGGGACTCACCGGCGTAATACAGCCAGTACTACCCACTAAAACCCAACAAAACCTTCCCCCGTCTTAATGGGGCGTCGCAGGATCGCTTACGCATTCAACTACGACGCCCCGACGGCAGGTCTGCCGAAGCAGACCACAACAACCATGGGGTTGCTCCAAGGTCCACTTTGCTATCAGAGAAGTACCAGGAGCAACCCGCAAGGTACACCGCCCCCCGAAGAGGGCCACCTCCCACCGCCCACCGAAGTGGGCAACCTCCCTGTGCGTTTCTTAGCTTCGCTACTACTACTGAGCCCCCCCACCACGACAAGGTGAACGCACGTTGGGGGGGAAATTACCTACCTACCTTTTCGGGTAATTTACCCGCCAAATTGGCAGCGCTACATATCAACTTTTTATCTTACGTTGTTAATTCATACAGCCTGAAAAAATTTGAGAGATCACAAATTATGAAACAAAAGTACAAATTATTTCTAATTTAATATTCATTTAACTCATTTAACATATGCAACCAAAATAAAATATATTTTTAAATATGTTTTAGGTATATCAGAAACATGCTTAGAGTATACATAAGATTATATAGGTATACCTACACTCTAAGGAAATATTATGCAGTTTCTATTGTGGTCATAATAATATTTTTATTATAGGTAGCTGTTTTATTTAATTAATCAATAAAAGAGATTATAGGTGTTTCAGAATGCCTTTTTTGATGAATTGTTTACATATTCCATATATATGGAGATACTTTTCGTAATAGTTATCGGATTACGGATTACGGATTATTCTTATCTTGTAAAGAGTGTCTCAGAAACATTTTCTAATTTAAAATGTAAAAATAAAATTCTAAACGTATATTAATTATAGTAAATTTAATATCAAATCAAATAGCGAAAATCAAATTCTTATTTATGAAAAACAACCATTTTTAAATGAGCGCCATTAACTTCTTCGCATCCATTTAATCTGGAGCTGAATTTTTCAATCACAGGACGCAGCATAGCGCGCGGTATCGCATTGATTTTGTTCGTGATTCTTTGCTTCAAATGGGATAAATTTTGCAGTGATGGATTATAAACCTTGCTCTTGAGATAGCCCCATAAGAAAAAATCCGCAGGGTTTAAATCTTGACTCCTCGGTCAGTTAATATCGCTTCGACGACTAATGATTCGTCCCGGGAATAATTCGCGAATTTGGCACTAAGCGCGTCGTTTGTGACATGAGAAGTGGCTCCATCTTGTTGGAAAAATGTGTTTCAGTTATAGCCACTTTGGTTTTGCATCGTGCTTGTTAAAAAAAATTTATCATATGGCAATAACACTCCGAATTTACAGTTTGAGCCCGTCCACGATTATCTTCAAAGAAGTAAGGGCCAATAATTCCTTGGCTTGATATGGCGGCCCAAACGATTACCTTGGGAGAAGCTTCTGATGCAGTTCTAGTGGGTTGCTTTCAGTCCAATATCTACAGCTTTGCTTGTTAACATGCCCGTTGACATGAAAATTTGATTCATCAGAGAACCAAATGTTATTAAAACTTTTGAAGGGATCTTTTACTGTTTTATTATCTCCTGAACAATAAAGATTTTTTAAGGGTGGAGGTGGATTTACAAATCCTTCTTAAAAATCCGATGAACTGTGGATTTATTCAACTTAAGAGTTTTTTTCATTTTTAGATTTCTTTCATCATTTTTCATTTTAAATAACAGTTTAGGACATATAATGATTTAAAGTTGGTTAACAATCTTTCTCGCTAATCTTCCTACTTAAAAATAATAAAAGAGCTGTAAATAAATAAATATATTATAGAAATTAAAAAAACCCGACTGCATAAAAGTTAACTAAAAAGATGAAAACAAGTTCACGAAGTAATATAAGTAGTATTATGCAGTCGGAGACATACACGTTTCATCTTTGCCGCGAGATGTACATACTCGTATGTATGTCTCCGACTGCATAATACTATATTCCTACGTGAACTTGTTTTCATCTTTTTAGTTGGCTTTTATGCAGTCGGATTTTTTAATTTCTATATATTTTTTTTAAATTTAGTACTTACTGAAAAATAAAAGTCACATATTATATGTAATGCATTTACCAATATAACCCATTCGATATTACATCTACGAATAGCTTTAGATATGCACAAAAATCTTAGTGCTTCGATCTTTTTTTTCTTGAGAGTAGAAAGAAGTAGTTTCGCTGTGTTCAGTGTTTATTTCGAGAAAGTTTAGATGGATAGTAGAGATTATTGTAAATTGACGTAGATAATAGGCTTGCCACCTTTTTTAAAGAGGAAGAATAGTATTTTTCTCAAAAACTTGCAAAAATATAGTACTTTTGTAAATTAAAAGAAAAAAATTAGTAGGTACACATTTATTTTTAATCATTATTTATTATTATTTACATTTATATTTGTTAACTACAAAAACTCTGCGCTTTGGCCATCAAGATTTTATTATGTATTTTAAAAAGAATTATAGCAATACGAGCAATTTAGATCATATAAAATAAATTAACAATTCTTTTTTAATTAAATTAATAGATGCTCTAATTCTTTCTTCTCTCTTTTATATTCGTGACGGAAAAAAATCTTTCCGTAAAAGTGGAAGTTGCAGAAATGGAAATAAACCAATGATTTTAAATATGTATTTGTGCTTTTGTAAGCATTTACCATTTTTCAGCAATGTTTTTAGACCGAAACACCTGTTCTTTACTTACCTTTGAAATTATTTCATTTACCATCATTATTTCAGAATACAAAATTCTGAAATTAACATCGGTTAAGCCAATTAGTTGGGTTAAAATCAAACCATTTATTTAAATAAATTAAGCTTTTGTCAAGAAATCATAATAGGTTCGTTTTAGAAGAACTAATCCTATTTGAAAGCTCGGGAGAATTTTCTTCGATATTAATTTTCTGTTTGTGTCATACCCAAAGAATTTATCTATTTTGCGCTGCTCTAAATTATTCTTTAATTTTTTTATAATATTGTGAATATGTAGAATATCTATAGGTATTATTTCCTCCTAGAAACTTTACAGTTTTATTAAATGCGAGTGCTATTGGCATAATCTTTCATCCGAAAAATAATTTGCTTACTATCTTCAATTATAATAACTTTAATGTAAGTAGAAAAATATTTGGCCGTTGATTTGTTTTATCGGAATACAAATAAAATGTATGACCAAAAGAAACCTAGGCACGCATCCGAGTGAAGTGAGAATAAGTAGCTTGTTAATTATTTTTTTATTTCAAAGATCAAACTGAAGACCATTAACCTTATAATTTTGTATGCATTAATTACCAATGAAAATTTTATAAAAATTCAGTAAATATATTACGAGTATTAGTACATAATGAACAAACAAACTGAGAGTGTTTCACATTTATAAAATAATCAGAGCTTTCAAGTACACTTTGTAAAATTGAAAAATATCCACAATGTAAGATTACTAGAGTGTCCAATAAAAGACTATCGGTAGAGCTACGTATATTTAAGTAATAATGCTGTGTTCAGAAGTTAGCGCGTGTAAAACAAAGATACGCCGAGAGGCGGCTTTGTTGCCGCTGAAACTGTTCTCTACTGAACTGTGTAGAGTTAAGAATGAATAGACATCCATATTTTTCATTTAAATAAATTTAGTTTTTATATTTTGTAGAAGTTATTTGTATTTATATGGAACTATTAAAGTTGTTATTTATATTGTACTAGCGGCTCACCCTCGCTCCGCTCGGGTTCGTCCCTAGTTACTTTTTAACCTTTAGTACCTATAGATTTTTCAGAGATGAGATATTTTATCGCAGTAAAAAGTATCCTTTATGTTGACCCGGGTAACCAGTTATCATCATATCAAATTTGATCAAAATCTTTCCAGTGGTTTTCTCGTGATGTAGTCACAGACCGACAAACAGACAGACAAAAATTCTAAAAACTATAGATTCGGCATCTGTTTCAATAATAATGACAATTTCAATAAGATTTTCCAAAAAATATTTAATGTACAGATTCGACTCAGAATTTTATTATATGTATAGAAAAATAAATCTATTTTAAATAGCAAAACAATAATGTACTACTTGTATCCGCAGAAGAAATTTATTTCAAAAGCATTAAAAACAGATCAATAAAAT